TTTTTTTTAACAGAGGTTTTTGCTCTAGTGCACGTGAATTTGCCAGAGAGACACAGAGAGACAGAGAGAGATAGAAAGTGAGAAGCACCCCCCAGGGGGATTGGCCACACCAAAATCCCTTCTCTTCCAGTCTCCTTTCGGGATTTTGGTATGTATGCACATACACCCGGCGTGAGTTTCAAGTCTCTAGGTCTGGATTTGAAATATGGTTGACTATGTGGGAGTCCAGAGATGTAACCATTACTGTTTTTTTTTTTTTTAAAGAATTATTGAATTTTATTTATTCATTCACTTACTATATATTTTTAATTTGACCAGAGAGAGACCCAGAGAGAGAGAGATGGGGGAGAGAGAGAGGGAAAGTGAGAAAGCAAGCCTTCAGGTCCAAGACTTGAACCGTGGTCGGCCTTGTAGGAGTGTCCAGCATCTTAACCACCATGCCATCTGCTGGTCCCAAGATGTAACCATTACTGGTTACCAGCCATCTGCTGGTCCCCTAATTGTTGACTTTCTGAATGTTTAGTATTTGATTTAAACAGATAATAGCTACTTGGTAATCATTTTTCTCTATTAAACTTAAACTTTTTAAAGTGAAATTCAGATAGACATAAGAGATGAGTGGTATACAATTGAAAGTTCTACATGGTCGCATAAACTTGATAGACTAAGTGAAATAAAATCCTAATTCATATTTAGAAAAATGAGACCATAGTATTATCAATTATTGGCCCTATAAACAGTATGATGTACCTAAATTCTTCACTTTGCAAAAATATTTTTCAGATCTGACATTGTTTCTGAGTGGCATTTTTCCAGGGAAGTGTGTGTGTGTGTGTGTGTGTGTGTGTGTGTTCACACATGTACATGTTACAAGTTAGGGGCCATGAAATGGCATGGTGGTTAAGGTGCTAGACACCCACATGGCTGAACCAGATGTGGTGGCCTGAAAATCATGCTAGGCGTGTGTGCTTGTGTACCCAAAATCCCAGGAGGAGAATGAAGGGACTGTGGTGTGGCCATCCCTCCTGGGGGTTGATTTCTCACTTTCCCTCTCTCTCTCTCTCCCTCCAGCAAGCCCACGTGCCCTATGGCAGAAACCAAAAAAAAAAAAAAGTTAATATGAATTGCTTTTTTCCCTTCTAAGGTGAATAGTGTGACTAAAATCTCCTTCGGTAAGGAAAAAACTTGGTCTATTCTTTTGACTTTTATGTTTTTTTTATGTTGTAGTTTGGCCTCTTTTTTCCTAATTAAAGGAACTTTTAGACACTTGTGGTACTGTGGCCCATCATATAGGTTTTCTTTATAGAATTATTGATAAAAAAAATCTGAAATTATCATTTTTAATTCAGGTTGCAATGAATAGAGCCCAAGTCTGTTTGATATCCAGCTCCAAATCTGGAGAGCGGCATCTCTACCTTATTAAAGTATCAAGAGATAAAATATCAGACACCGGTGACCAAGACTCAACAAATTGTGATGCAAAAGGTAATTACTTTATTTGCTCTATTATATAAAACTTGACTGAATTGAAAAAGACTGATGAAGTAATATCTGATAGTAAGCAAATTGAAAATACGTCATTTTCAAATAAACTAAAATTTTCTAATCTAAGTCTCAAGCATACTTCATTTGATGTTAAAAAAAAAGGAAAGGTTCAGTGTAAATACTTTTAAGTTTTAAAAAATGAAAAGGAAAGCATCTCCTTGTATCCTTTTGAGAAAAAGGTAAAACAATATTTTTAATTTTGACTTTTTAAAAAGAAACTGTATTTTAAGAACTTGTGAAGATTAGATGACAGTATGGATTATTTGTAGTCACTTCACTTACATATATTCCATTTTCTGAGAAATCTATTGTAGACAAATATAGCAGTAGTCATAGAAACTGACTTTAAAAGACATCTATTTTGCTTAGAAAAGCATCAAGTGTGTTTGTGTGAAGTTATTACTAAGAGGACTTTGGAAATGCCCTAACCTATAAATCAAAGGTGTCAGTCAGAAGGTTAATTAACAGACATTTACGAAATAATAATTGTTGGTATTATTAGAATCCGAGGAAAGGTGGGAGAATTCATCTGCTCAAAATCTAGTTACAAATGCCTCAGAACCTGCCATCTCTTCATTGATTCTAGGTTTATCCCAGTACCGCCTGCTTCTATTGCATGTATTCTAGATCATATTTCCTTCAGTTCTGTTGAGCCATTGGGAAAGTCGTGATGCATTTTTACATAGAAAAGCCATAGAAAAATACATCATGACTTTCCCAACAACCTAATATTTTTCTCTATATCAGATGCTGCCTGTTTTCTTTCAGTGATTCCCCACTTTAGGTCCATTATGACTTTTCTTAGGTTTATAAGGTTTTGTTGGTTTGCTTTACTAATTTCATCATAGTGGGTAATCACATTACATTGGTGTGTCAAGATAGGGAGAGCTAATAATAAGCCTCTTTATATTACCTGTAACCTTGCCCTGTGAAACTTTCATTTGGCTTTTCTTTTTTTTTAAATACTAGAGGGCACATGAGAGAGAGAGAAACCTCACCCCAGTGGGACCTGGTCACACTATAATCTCTTTTTCTTTCAATTCTCCATATCATCAAGATCGTGGATACCCAAAGCGTGTACCTGGTGTGTCATTTAAGCCTTTCAGGCTGGCACTCAAGCTCTGGTCGGTCAACTGTGTGGTATCTAGCTTTTTTTGCTTAGTGCTTAACTGCTCTACTGTGGGGCCAGCCTATTCTATATTTCTCATAGACATTTCCTCTCATTGCTCTAGTCTCTTCATAGCTATTAGATTTAAGGAATGTACGATAATTCCACTGGATAGCAGTTCCATAACTTATTTAATCGTTTCCTTATTTTTTGCCATACGATTGGTTCTGATAGTTTTTCTGTATAGATAATAATATCATAAGCATCATCATACATATAGATTTACCCATAGTTTAATGTTGTAATATAGATTCCTAGAGGAGGATTACTGGATTAAAGGCATTACAAATTTTTTTATAGGGGACCAGCAAGTGGCATGGTAGTTAAGGTACTGGACACTTCCACATGGTTGACCATGGTTTGAGTCCTGGATCTGGTGGCTTGCTTTCTCACTTTCTCTCTCTCTCTAGTCAAATTAAAATGAATGAATGAATGAATAAGTACAGTTAAATAATTCTTTAAAAAACTTTTTTTTTTTAATGGGGACTGGCAGGTAGCATGGTGGTCATGGCGCTGGACTTCTACATAACTGCCCACAGTTTGAGTCCAGACCTGGTGGCTTGTTTTCTTACTTTGTCTCTCTCTGATCAAACTAAAAAATAATAATAAATAAATTAATCCTTTTAAAAAATTTATAGCTTTTGATAGTATTCAAGGGCTATAAGAGGGAGGCTTCTTTTTTTAAATTATTATTTATTAAATTTTATTTATTCATTCATTTATTTTTAATTTGACAGAGAGAGAGAGAGAGAGAGAGAGAAAGAGGGGAAGTGAGAAAGCAAGCCACCAGGCCCGGGACTCGAACCGTGATCATCCATGTGGGAGTGTCCAGCACCTTAACCACCATGCCACCTGCTGGTCCCAAAGGGAGGCTTCTTACAGAGAAATGGGAAAGAGAAGATGTTAAAAGAAAAGAGAAATTTTAAGACAGAGAAAAGAAAAATAAGATTATAAAATAATCTCAAGAACAATCTGAATCTCAAAGTATGGATGTGAAGTTATTTTCTGAGCAGATGTTTGAATATTTTGTAGCTGCAGAGTCCTCTGTCTGACCACAGTTATGGAAAACTACTCTTTCTGCCCTGAAGGAGCATATATCCTAGCTATCACTTGGAAATGCAAATTTGGGTTAGCTGGACTTTGGGAAACAAGTTAGAGTGAGAATTACCAGGGATTGCAGATCTTAGGAAGAGTAGAAGGATGTCGTGTTGATGGAGTGTACACAAGCAGCTAACCCCTTTCATTTTTGTCAGGAGAGTGTTGTCAAGAGTCAGGCCCATCATTATTGAGTTTATTTTGAAATTGTTCATGTGAATATTGCTTTCTAATTGTATTGTTTCTGGAAATACAATGCCTTAATTGTTTTTCATTGTCTCATTTTAGCAATATTTGCTGTACTCACAAGTGTCTTGACAAAAGAAGATTGGTGGAACCTTCTCTTGAAGGCCATATACACCCTATGTAACCTAGCCCGGTTTGAAGAAGCTGAGTTACTTGTAGATTCTTCGCTGGAGTATTACTCATTTTATGACGACAGGCAAAAGCGCAAAGAACTAGAATACTTTGGTCTGTCTGCTGCAATTCTAGACAAGAATTTCAGAAAGGCATACAACTATATCAGGTGACTTTCTAATAACTTAATTTAATTAGTTTCTTGATAAAATATGTACCTGTACTTTGATTTAGTCTCTCATAGTTGACATTAATAAGCAGTTTTATTTTAAGCTCTAATGTTGGTTACTGGTTGATTCATTTCAAGCTAACTCTCACAGGCAGTATATGCAGGCACGAGTTCTAGAACCAGACCTCCTCAGTGCCTATCTCAGCCTTGAACACTTATTAGCTGTTTCCCCTTTGGCTGATTACTTAACCTATAGACCTGAGTTTCCCCATCTATAAAAAGACATCATTATACTACCACCTCAGAGGATCATTATAGAGATTAAATGAGTTTATGTCTACAGCCTTTTAACGATTGTGGCAAAAATTTTTTACTAATTATTATTCAATGCTAATTGTACCGTAGCTATATTTGACAGGTAGCAGTAAAGGGAAATTTAAACTACCTGATTCTAGTTTTTGGTTTGAAAATGTTGAAAAGAAAGCAGGAACAAAATGTAGAAATATTAACTTAAGCAGCATTTTTAGGAAGAAACCTTTCATATTATAAGAGGTTTTATTTACTGAAATGGTTGAATCAGTCTGCTTTTCTTATTGAGGGTAGTATATTTGAATATTGGTAGATCAGCACTGAAGGGTTTTATTCTTAGAAAATGGGAAGATGTTCTTTTAATGTTATTTTTCCCTTTCATTCGCTTCAATTTTAGGATAATGGTAATGGAAAATATCAATAAACCCCAGCTCTGGAACATTTTTAATCAAGTCACCATGCGCTCCCAGGATGTACGACATCATCGTTTCTGTCTCCGTTTAATGCTGAAAAACCCAGATAATCATGCTCTATGTGTCTTAAATGGACACAATGCATTCGTGTCTGGGAGTTTTAAGCATGCACTTGGTAAGTGTCCTGGCACACGGCATTATAAAACATAGATCATGTGGTGGTTCAGAGCTTAAGCACCCCTTATAGTAGATCTGTCTGGGTTTAAATAGCAGTCCTGTATGGCAAATGATTCTGCCTCCCTCTGCTGCTTTTTTTTAATCTCTAAAATGGAAATAGTAATTAGACAGCTTCCTTGTACACTATTGTGAGAACTAAAAGAGTGAATACAGGGACCAGCAGTTGGCGTAATGGCTATGTGGCTGGACTCCCATGTAGTTCAGTGGTTCGAGTCCTGGACCCGGTGGCTTAAACTCACACCAGGTGCATGTGTGTGCGTGCCCAAAATCCCAAGTGTGAATACAAAGTACTTAAAACAGTGTATGGCATATATGACACATGGCTATAAACATTAGCAGTGATGATAATAATGAATAATTGGTTTTTTTAAAGAATTATTTTATTCAATTTTATCTATTAATTTACTTCTTTTTTTTTTTTTTTAATTTGACTAGAGAGGGACAGAGTGAGAAAGAGGGAAAACAAGCCATCAGATCTGGGACTTGAACTGCGATCGGCCATGTGGGAGATCAGTGCCCTTAACCACCATGCCACCTGCCGGCCCCAATAATTACTCATTTTCTTTCTTTTTTATAGGATCCAAGTGCTTGCCAGAGAGTGTGTGAGAGAGAGAGAGAGACAGAAAGCAAGAAATCACCCCCCAGGGGGGATGGCCATGCCACAGTCCCTTCTCCATTTTCCTCTTGGGGTTTTGGGCATGCACACATGCACGCTGCTGGGTTTTCCTCTTGGGGTTTTGGGCATGCACACTTTCACGCTGCTGGGTTCAGGACTTGAACTGCAGTCAGCCACGTGGTATTCCAGTGCCTTAACTACTATGTCACCTAATGGCCCCTGTAATTCATTTTGAGAGTAAACAGTTCTCCCTCCTTAGGCTTATTTTAAAAATAATTGTCATTAATTATGATTGCTTTGCCACTTGATTTTGAAAAATTTTACTTATTTATTATTTTTATTCAGTTTGACCAGAGAGAGACAAGGAGAGAGGGAGAGAGGGGAGAGTGAGAAAGCAGGCCACCAGGTCTAGGACTCCAACTGTGGTCAGCCATGTGGGAGTCCATGCCTTAACCACCACACCACCTCCCAATATTTTTTTAAGAATTATTTATTTTATTTAATTATTATTATTATTTTAAGAGAGATTTTTGTTATGGTACATGTGCTCTCACCAGAGACAGAAAATGAGAAATCACCCCCCGGGGATGGCCACACTACAGTCCTGTCTCCTCCATTTTCCTCTCGGGATCTTGGGCACACATACGCATGCGCCTGGTGTGAGTTTTAAGTCGCAGGGTCCAGGGCATGAACTACTGTCGACTATGTGGGAGTTCAGCAATGTAACCATTATACCATCTGCTTGTCCCTTAATTTTATTTCTTAATATTATTTTTTAATTTGACCAGAGAAAGGCTGAAAGACAGAAAGGGAAAATGAGAAAGCAAGCCACCAAGTCCAGGGCTTGAACTGCGGTCAGTCATGTGGGAGTCCAGTGCCCTAACTATACCTGTTGGCCCCACCACTTGATTTTAATTTGTTATACATTGGTCATTAATAAGACGGAATTTCTCTAAGAAGGAATTAGAAGCAAATAAGTAGAAAAAATGCCTAACCAAGTATTTAAACTTAAAATTAGGTCAGTTCTTCTACTTGCCAAATGCTAGTGTTGCCAAGTTCACCTCTTCTGAATAAATTATGATTTTTGGCTATTTGAAAATTTCCTTTCTTTGTGCTATCTATGGCTGTTGTTTTTGAGTTGTCAGCCAGTAATCTCAAACATCACGTGTTGAACCTTTCCTCTGTTGTATGTGCTTGTTGGTTTAATATTGAGAAAACGCAGAGCTTCAATTTTCTTGTTCTATATTAGAAACATTTTCAGAAGGTAAAAATAGAAATATCCAATCTGGGGACCGGCAAGTGGCATGGTGGTTAAAGGCGCTGGACTCCCACATGGCCGACCACGGTTCAAGTCTTGGACCTGGTGGCTTGCTTTCTCCCTTCCTCTCTCTCTGTCTTTCTGATCAAACTGGAAAATAATAATGATAATAATAATAAAGTTAAATAAAAGAATTCTTTAAAAAAAAAAATCCATCTTTGCTACTAAAGAGAATCATGGTGTCATTCCTCCCAGGGTAGGAGCTGGAAGGAGTAACAGCAGATGGCAGGTTAAGGTGGTTGAATCCCACGTGGCTAACTGTGCTGTTTGAGTTCCAGCAGCTTGAAAAACATTCTGGGTGTCGTGTGTGTGCGTGTGCGTGTGCGTGCGCACGAGCGTGGTCAGGATCCCAAGAAAAAAATAAGAGAAGGATTGCTGCTTGGCCATTTTCCTACTTTCCCCCTCTGTCCCTGGCGAGTGCACACACACACACACACACACACACACACAAAGCTGGAAGGAGTATAAGTTTTTTTTTGTTTGTTTGTTTTGCTATAGCGCATGTATGTTAGAGAAAGACAGTGAGAGGGAAAGTGAGAAATCACCCCCTCAGGGAATATGGCCACTTTGCAATCCCTTTTCCTCCATTCTCCTGGGATTCTGGGCACACACACATGTATAGCTGGTGTGGTTTTCAAGCCACTGGTTCTGGGATTTGAACCATGGTCATCCATGTGGGAGTCCAGTGCCTTAACCAGTATGCTATCTGCTGGCCCCAGGAATATGATTTTATTTATGTATTACTCCTTTATGTGATAAATTTGCTTAAATTCTCTTTATATAATTATATTTTTAAAAAATTATAGTTTTATTTATTATTTTTTAATTTACTATAGGGCACACTGCACTTACCAGAGACAGACGGGTTGGGGGTGGTGAGAAAGCAAGCCTCCAGATCCGCGATTTAAACTGTGGCTGGACAAATGGGAGTCTTGCACCTTAACTCCTGTGCCATCTGCCAGCCCCTGTTATAGATTTTTGATATAATTGTATATATAGAATACATGGTATTCATAAAATTCCAAGTTTTTATTTTATTATTGGATACATTTAGTTTTCTCTGGAAACAAAGTGTTGCATTTAGAAAAACAACACCTAGAGGTTTTTTTTTCTGCTATAGGGTGTGGTCATGTGGGAGTCCAGCAATGTAACCACTAAGTCATCTGCTAGTCCCATAACACCTGTATAATTGAAAAAACAGAATAAAGCTACTTTTTCTTTTTTCGTCTCCATGATCCATCATATTTGAATTTCAAAAACAGATCAATTAATTTTACTAAAGAATTTGACCAAAAGACACATTCTTCCACTACTTTCGGAATATATTTAATCATAAAATATAGATTGATGGTCACAACAGATGAACTTTTTGTTTGTTTGTTTGTTTTAAGTATTTCACACTGGAGTTGTCTAGCTGTGCCTAAAGAAAGAAGAAAGTGAGGGTTTTGGTTTTTTTCTTTGTTTTTTGGAGAGGTTTTCACTATAAGGCGTGTGCGCTCACCAGACAGACAGAGAGAGACATAGAGACAGAAAGCGAGAAATCACCCCCCAGGGGGGATGATCATGCCGCAATCCCTTCTCCTCCATTCTCCTCTCGGGATCTTGGGCACGCACGCACATGCGCCTGGCATGAGTTTTAAGCCACCGGGTCCGGGACGCGAACCGCGGTTGACTACGTGGGAGTCCAGTGAGATAGCCATTACGCTAACTGCTGGTTCCCGAAAGTGAGGGTTTTTTTGAGAATTTCTTTTGCTATGGGGACATGCATTTTTTTGCAAAAATCACCCCCTGAGGGGATGACCACACCACCTTCTCTTCTTCATTCTCCTCTCAGGATTTTGACTGTGCGTGCATACGTACCCAGTGTGAGTTTCAGTCCGCCTGGTCTGGGACTAGAACTGAGGAAGAGTAGGAGTCTAGTGCCCCAACCACTACACTACTTTCTTGCTGCTAAGAAAGTGACTTAGTTACTCATGTTAAATCTTCACAGTCAGGATACATTCATAGGGAAATTTTCTTCTAATTGTGTTATATGTTATTTATTGTTTAAATTCAGACCAGGAGGCCAGCAGAGAGAGTGGTAGTTAAGATTTTAAATTCCCACATGACCATCCATAGTTCAAGTCCTGGTCCTGGTGGCTTGCTTTCTCATTTTCTCTCTCTCTGTGTCTCTTTCTGCTTTACCTCTCTTGTGAGCACACGTACCCTATAGCAAACTTAAAATAATTGTAATGGTAATAATAAATAAAATAAATAATTTTAAGAAATGATTCAAACCAGGGCCTGCAGGTGGTATGGTGGTTAAGGTGCTGGACTCCCACATAGCTGACTACAGTTCGAGTCCCAAACCTAGCAGCTTGCTTTCTCACTTTTGCTCTCTGTCTCTGTCTCTGTCTCTCTCTCTCTGGTGAGCGTGTGTATCCTGTAGCAAATTTAAAAATAATTAAATAATTATAATAGTAATGATAGGGGCTGGTAGGTGGTATGGCAGTTGAGGCTCTAGACTCCTACATGGCTGACTGAGATTTGAATCTCAGACCTAATGGCTTGCTTTCTCTCTCTCTGGTTAAATTAAAAAAAATAAATAAGTAAATGATTCTTTAAATTAAAAAAAAAAGATAAATAATTTTTAAAAAACAAGATTCATGGAGGCAGCAGGTAGTGTGGTGGTTAAGGGTGCTGGACTCCCATATGGTCAACCACGGTTTGAGTCCCGGGCCTGGTGGCTTGCTTTCTCACTCCCCCACCACCACCCTCACTCTCCCTCTCTGGGGATTTAAATAAATTAATTATTAAGTAAGTAAGTAAGTTAAATAAAATAATTCTTTTAAGAAAGGAATTATTTTATTTAACTTTATTTATCCATTTATTTATTTACTTTAATTTGACCAGAGAGGAGTAGAGTGAGAAAGAGAGAGTGAGAGAGAGAGAGAAAGCAAGCTGCTAGGTCCAGGACTCGAACCATGGTTGGCCATATGGGAGTCCAGCACCCTTAACCACTATGCCACCTGCCGGCCCTAAAATAATTTTTAAGAAACAAGATTCAAATCAATGTGCATCTGATTGATATTTAATATACAGTAGACACCTGTATATGCTGAAAATCAGTAATGTTTGTTTAGCCTTAAACTCTGAATAAATGTTGAAAAAATAACTCTATTCTTATCACCCCATCTGACACTACTGCTCATTTTTCCAGGACAGTATGTGCAAGCCTTTCGTGCCTGTCCACATGAACCTCTTTATAGCCTTTGTATTGGCTTAACCTTTATTCACATGGCATCTCAGAAGTTTGTGTTAAAGAAGCATGCCCTTATTGTGCAGGTAATTCATTTGGAGTTCCTATTACTTGATTTTATGTTCCTTGTAAATGAATCTCCTTAATGCTTTTTTTGTTAATCCTCTTCAAGAGTAATACCTGCTTAGTACATGTGTTGGGAGTCCTCAATACTCATGCCTTTGTTTAGCACTCATGTGACTCAAGGTGTAGTTGTTCTCTTGGCCAAGACATGGTAAGGATAAATAGCTAGATCACAGGGGAAAAGACACAGGAATCTGGAGGAATCCCTGTTTAGGCTTCCTTAGACTGTGGAGCCTAGAAGTCTTTAGCCATCCTAGGTTCTGAAAGTTCATGTAATGCTGCGCATTGGGAACCAGATCCTACCTGGCCAACTGCAGTTCAGGTCCCCATTGTGTAGCTTGAAAAACATGGCAGGTGCACATGTGTGCCCAGAATCCTGACAGGATGGAGAAATGAATAAAAAAAGGATTGTGGCATGACCATGTCCCATTGGGAATAGGGGCAGTGATTTCTCCTGTTTCTCTGGCAAGCAGATGTGCCCTCTGGGCAATAAAAAAATGTACTCAAAGTGAGTTTGCTTTTTAAGAGTAAACCATTCTAAATTATTGTTATAAAGGGTTCAGGTTTAATAATTTGCTCAAACTTTTAGGGACATAGCCCAAATCAGTTAGTTTATTGGCTTCTAATACCATGAAAGCCAATTCGAAACTGTAAAAAAATGTATTTGACACTTTTAGAGATTATGGATCTTTGGCATCTGGTTGTAACATTTGGCTCTATTTTCTGTGAATATTTTTGTTCTTAGCTGTAAATTTTTTTTCTTTACATCTTCGTAAGAACTGTAACATGACACTTGGTAACACCATAACGTGACATTACACTACAGAGATAATGTTCTTTTAGAGCAGGCCTTGGTCTTTTTTTAACGTTAAATTCATTTTCCCAGCACTTGGCCCGTACCCTGGTTCAGTACATTCTTGATACTAATTTGTTCACTTTTCTCTTTTGGATAGGGCTTTTCCTTTCTTAATCGGTACCTCAGTCTACGTGGGCCTTGCCAGGAGTCATTCTACAATTTGGGCCGGGGCCTTCATCAGCTGGGGCTGGTTCACCTTGCAATCCACTATTACCAGAAAGCCCTGGAGCTCCCTCCACTCTTGATAGAGGTATTGCACAATTTACTTTAAAAACTGAGAAGTCACTTCATTTCATCTGTGGATTAAATGCAGTTAGCTAAATATTGTGGTCAACAGTGAACTAAATGTATTTCTTCCCTTGTTCAATGTATTTATGGGGTTACGTGCAGAACTAGCTAATTCTTAGACATCCTGGTCTTATGACTTGATCAGAACCATGTGGGCATTTAAGGCATTGCTACTACACACTCTGATGATCTATGTGTGAAGTCTAATTTTCATTTTATTTCCTGAAGAAAGTATGAGTATTTGTTTTCACCATTAGTTTTAAATGTTGTGTTTTTTTTTTGAGAGGTTTTTGCTATGCACTCGCCAGAAAGAGACAGAGAGACAGAAAGCAAGAAACCATCCCCCAGGGGGGATGGCCACACTGCAGTTCCTTCTCCTCTGTTCTCCTCTCGTTATCTTGGACACACACACACACACACACACACACACACACACACACACACACACGCGTCCAGCGTGAGTTTAAGTCACCGAGTCTGGGACTTGAACCACGGTCAACTACATGGCAGTCCAGCGACATAGCCATTACACTAACTTCTGGTCCCAGTTTTAAATGTATTTTAACACAGCAATAATAAATCTTTTTAGTTTCACTCATAGTCCCCATATTTTTTCACAATTATTTTCTGTTGCCAGTATTCAACATTAGTCTTTAAGCAAATGATTGTTTATTGTGGAACTATTTACAATTGCTAAGTCATGGAAACAACCCAAATGCCCACGTACAGATGAATGGATAGAAAAACTGTGGCACATATACTCAATGGAATACTATTCAGCCATAAAAAACAACAAAACCCTGGCTTTTGACAGGAAGTGGATGAATATGAAAGATTTACTGCTAAGTAAAGCAAGCCAGGCTATGAAGGAGAGGCATTGTATGTCCCCACTAATATATACCGAGTATCTACACTCTATGACTGAAACTAATTGATGAAAGGATATAGAAACGCAGTATATAGATGTAAATACCAAATACAGTGCGTGTGGAAGAGTAGGGTCTGAGGAAAGACATTTAGAAGAAAAATAGGGAGGCAAAGCATTAATGGCACAAAAGAATGTGGTATTATCTGTTGAAGGTATTTTGTAGTTTTTTTTTTTAAAGAATTATTTAACTTTATTTATTATTATTATCATTATTATTTTTCAGTTTGATCAGAGAAAGAGAGAGAGAGAGGAAGTGAAAAAGCAAGCCACCAGGTCTGAGACTTGAAGCATGGTTGGCCATGTGGGAGTCCAGTACCTTTAACCACCATGCCACTTGCCAGCTACGGTATTTTGTAGTTTTATCAACTGTACTAGGGAGAAATGTTCACCTGTTGAAATATCCATTTTGTAAGCCAAGTAATAATATGATTGAATGTATAAAAGAAAATGAAATGAAAGAAAAAGAATATATTATTTTTATAGTTATGTGAATAGAATATATATACTTTTGTGTGTTTTATTTCATAAATAACTTTATTTTATATTGCTCGCTACTTGGTGCTTTATAATTTTTTTTAAAGAGATTTTTGCTATAGAGTGTGTGTACTTACCAGAGAGACAGAAAGTAAGAAATCACTGTCCCCTCCCCCCATGGAGGATGGCCATGTTGCAATCCTTTCTTTATTTTCCTGCTGGGATCTTAGGCATGCATGCATATACACCTGGTGTGAGTTTAAAGTCACCTTTTCCAGGATTTGAACCACAGTTGGCCATGTGGGAGTCTGGTGATACAAGTATTATGCCATCTGCTGGTCCCTATAATAATCATTTTTATTTATTACAGATGTATTTTCAGTTGACCCCAAAATTTTGGATTAGGGAAGATGAGAAACAATATGTATTAATAGATTGAATCCATTCCATGAGTTCATTTCTTTGTTATTTTAGTAGGAAAAATTATAACATCCCTGAGGTAATCATTGTAAATTACTGTGGCGTGTACCCCTCAGACCTTCTCTTTATATACCTTTCTGATATAGAAGAGGTGTTTCTTTCCAAATCTGTTTATTGGTATTTATTATTATTTTTTACATTCAGAAGTTTTTTTATGAAGTGTTATCAAGTTTTTCCTTTATAGTTTACTTTTGCTACCATATTTAGAAGGAACTTTCCTAAGATTTCATTATTTTATTATTATTCAATTGTATTTTTTTAAACAGATTTTAAAAAGCTCTTAAATCTTTAATGTGGGGCTAGCAGGTGGCATGGTGATTAAGGTGTTGAATTCCCACATGGCTGACCAAGGTTTGAATCTTGAACCTGGTGGCTTTCTCTCTCAGTCTCTCTCTCTGGCAAAACTCATGTGAAAAAAAATAATAATAAAAAAATAAAGTAAATCTGGAAAAGATATTTAATTTATCTGGAGTTTATTCTGTTAGGTGGGCTTGTTGATGAAATTTCCCTTATTGGTTAGGTATTTTTTAATATTTGATAATACTATTACTATAATGATGATCAGCATGGATTCAAAGTATATGGATATTTTTATAATATGTTTTAGTATAATAGAATTTTAATAGCTTTTGGAAACTTAACACTTATAAAACTATTTGGTATATGATTGTCTTGGGTGGCAATTTCAAATATAAAAATATTCATGGATTCTTTTTCCCCCTTTAGGGAATAGAAGTTGACCAGATAGACTTAAGAAGAGATATTGCCTACAACTTGTCTCTCATCTATCAGAGCAGTGGGAATATTGGAATGGCTCAAAAGCTTTTGTATACCTATTGTTGTATATGAAGCACCGCAGCTCAGGAAGGAGCCTTGAGCAGCTGCTGTGTGAGGACCAATATCTTCTGTCTCAGAGCTCACTCTTTCTACTCCAGAATAGAAATGATAGTTTTGGAATTATCTAATGGTGTATTTCATTTTTAATATGTGATAATGATCTTTTGGTAGATATGCGAAGATGTCATTCTTAGAGTTTGTATATTTTTCTGTCATTTTCCATTCTGTAGTAAAAATATCCCCAGTGCTGAAGTAGATGACCCTGTGGGCCAGCTTGGAGTTGAATGCACTATTTTTTTTTTTACTTATATCAGTTATTTATCTGTGCATTTAATACTATATATTAAATGCCTACTGTATACCAGGTGCTGGGACTATGGTAGTAAGACAGATGTGGTCTTGTCCTTGTGGCCCTTACAGAGTTCGTTACTACCAGTGAAATCATTACGGCTCAATGCAGTTCTTTAAATACGGAACATGAGCATATATTTATTTTGAAAAAATGCTCGCTGTGTTTCTGCATACGTCGTCATCGTTAGTCACTCATCATTTCTTAGAGCCCTGTCACTATTATATGAGGTGATTTCTCAAATACATGAAACAGGGGTTGCTTATTAAAGGAAACACAATTTGAGACTTTGTGATGTCAAGGCAGTTACTTTATTGGGCACATAACAAAATTATTTTAAATGGTTGTATGGTAGAAAGACAAATAGCTGATTTCATCTTTCACTTTTTACCTGCATGTTTCTTAACTATGTAGACAGACTTGGGAGGCTGGACTTAGTTCAGAAAATACTGCTCCAAGCAAAAGAAAAAGAACGTTATCTATTGTGGCTTCCCAGCAAAAAAAAATAGAAAAGAGGATCATTATGAATACATGACACAGTTTCCATTTCAAGATCACTAGGAATATAGGAAAGACTGGGAAGATTGTTTGATATATAAAGTATTGTTGATAAAGTATTAAAAGAAATGGATAAAAGCCTTTTACTCATCTCTAACATTGTATGTTCTTGAATATAAGGTAACGATACTTGTTAGCTGTAGTATTGGTTTAATAACAACATTTTTTTTTTTTAATTTTGCCAGAGAGTATGTGCGCACTCGCACTGTGGGGGAAGGGGGCAGGAAAGTGTGCCCCATGCGGTTTAAGCATGCACGCACACACACGCGCGCACACACACACACACACACATGGAGTGTTTCTCAAAGCATTTCTCAAGCTGTCGGGTAAGGTACTCAAACTGTGTAGTTGGCTATGTGGGATCCAGTTGCCTTAACCTCCAGGCCGTGGACAGGCCCTAGTAACAGCTTTTTAGGGAAAATAAATGCTATAATAAATGTGTATATGAGCTGCAAGACCCAGTCCAATTGAGGTAGGGAAACAGGTCTAAGGCTTAGGATGAAGGAATACAATGAGGGGGTTTTAGGAATTCTTGCCACTGTTTATGGTATATATTTAATTTTCTAATTGAGAAGCATAATTTGTGTATAAGTAAGTGTATTGTGCACTCTGTGTGTGTGCTTTAAATAAAATTTATTTTTATATAGGTTGTTTCACATGTTTATATATTTTTAATTTCTTGCCACTCACCGGTAATGAAAACACTACCTGTGAATAATAAGTTAGATTTATGTCTTGGTGTACCATGGAATCGAGCATTCTGCATTGAATTTCTCTTTTGAATTAAGCTCACTGGACTCGGACTCTGGTATCTTAGGCAACCTTGTCAGAAACAACAAATTTCACTTACAGTCTTTTAATGAAAAATGCTGATGATGCATAAGTTCATTTAACATTTAAAATCATAGCTACTACTTGCTGAGATTTTACTGTGCTATTATCGCGTGCTGAGTACCACGGTAGACACTTTAGGAACCTATGTCTGCTCTCCGCCACCGGCGTGGTAGGCGTTGCTATTGCCCTTGTCTCCACCTCAGGTAGAGGTTAAATAGCATCTTCTAGAGCACCAGTGAGCTTGCTTGCACGTATTGGTCACAGGAACTTTTGCTCTGGTCCAGAGTAAATGTAAAAGTTTTATTTTAGATGGAGAAAGGAAACCTTTTTTTAAATTTTTTTGTCTCCCAAAACTTCAGCCTATGAGAACTCCTGTAGAAGACATATTTTGGGATGGTTTTGGAAAACTCGGTCATTTCTTTAGCTGCCATCCTCACCCCGGCCACAGGATCCTGATAGTCACTTAGGCAGTAAGATTTGCTTCTACTGTTCTCAATTGGTCCAGCAGGAAGTCCACTCCTGAATGAAGCAGGGCCTATTAAGTTTCCTCCCACCTTCCCAGGAAATTTTAGAATTGAGATAGAGCAGGGCCAATAGGCATGGTGGTTAAGATGCTTGACTCCCTCATGGCCGACCACCGTTCGAGTTCCAGATCTGGTGGCTTGCTTTCTCATTTTCTGTCTGACCTTCTCTCTCTCTCTCTCTCTCTCTCTGGTGAGCAAATGTGCCCTATAGCAAGTTAAAAATAATAATAAATTAAACAATCCTACTCTATGATTTACTGGCTTCCTTTCCTTTAGATCCTAAAAAAAAAAAAAAAAAAAAAAGAATTGAGATAGAATCTTCTCGTGGGGACTAAAACTTAGTTATGAGGCAAACTAGCAGTTGACCCATGCCATTGAGGAAGGGAGAGGCATACATTAAAAGATGAGAGTAATCTCAGTTCCCAGAGCTTTCCCAGTTTTAGTGCTATCCTTTTCTAAGGCTAGCTGCATTTTTAGCCTTGTGTTCATTCTATAAAATATCCTTGATTCAATAGTAACTTTAATGTTTAACTTCTGCTTTAATGTCTACACTAATGTTTAAAGCTTACATTTTTCTGTTGTGCCAAGAAAACAAAGATTAAAAACCCTAACTATCCACTACTGTTCCATCTTTCTTTTCATTTAGTGTCATGCAGACCCACAAAGGTGATCCAGATCCCCATCGTCTGGTGACAGGGTAATCTCTAAGGTTTATCTAAATCAGATGACAGAGATGAAGCAGTTTTTGAGTAAGAATGTAACAATGTACACACAGGCAAAAAAGGGAAAGCAGTAAATACAAGTAACGAGAGAAATAGAAATAAATAACGAGAGAAATGGAAAGTAAAGTCAGTCATATAGTGCTGGGTGCTAGTCAGTGAGCCAATGCTGTGTGTCCATGGGCAGACGTGCAAGACGTTCAGGAGGCCAGACCCTCGAGGTGGGACTCAAACAAGTGCGAATGCCGTCAGGTCACAGTCCCCACAGGCCACTCCTGCGGTCTCCATCCGCCACAGTTGTACTGAGTGGCTACACGGGAGGGAGTCCTGTGAAGGTATCTCAGGACAGTTCAAAAGTTCCTTGTATGTATAAATCCCAACATGTTGGATTTCAGCTGTTGATATAAGGGGAGAAAGGTTAAGATGCCAACTTCTTCAAATTTTCTGGAGGGAAGAGGCCTAGATGCCAGTATTCTGATCAGTGCAGGGCACACTTGTCATGGTGGTCACTTGAGTTCCTAGTAGTCACTTCTGGAGGGAAATGTTCCAGATGTCAACTTCCTTCTTACACTTGGGTTTGTCGTAGCTTGTTTATTAGAAATGAAACCTAGGGCACGGAGCTAGCCTTGCCAAGCCACAGGTTTCATGCCTTGGCGATGTCAGCTCCACTTTCAGGGGCTTCTTCCCTAAACTTCACTCATAAATAAAACCTAATACACCTTTCACCGTAATCACAACAAAATATACATCTTTTAATATTCCTGCTTCCTAGCCATTTTCTTAAAAACATAGCAAACAGGGATGAATATAAAACTTGTCATTGGATTTTAAGTAACGTCACAAAGTCTAACCATAATAAACAGGCTTTAGAAAACTGTTCAGAGGGGTGCAGTGGCAATGCGGCTGAACTTACTGGGAAAGGTCCTGGCTTTTTGTTCTAAGTTCAGCACTTACCCTGTTTCCCGATAGGACTCAGGCGTCATCTGGACCATCAGTGGTGATCAGGATCTCTGCTTAGCATTAGCGTGCCTTTGGGTGACAGCTCATGCTTCTCCATTTCTGGAGATGGTCCCTGTGAAGACCAAGTTCTAGGTACTGCTAATGGAACCTGACCCATGCTGGGCCAATTGCATTCTTGTACTTGAAGCTTGGCCTGGAGAGACGAAATTCAGTGTCTGTGGAACAAAATTACACTCACAACAGTGCTGTAAGGAAAAGGGCAGAGTCCTGCTGCTGAGGTCCCTGGAGTAACTCTCCTTTCACAAGTGAATTCGTATTCTCTAAGAAAACGCCATTTCCTTCCAGTAGATCATCTTATATAAACTAATAGGTCTGTTGGGTTCTGTAGGAAGCAGGATTTTATTTATTATTTTAGTTTAATTTGACGACAGAGAGAAAGCCTCCAGGTCTGGCACTTGAACTGCAGTCAGCCGTGTGGGAGTCCAGCACTTTAACCACCACGCCACTTGCTGGTCCCTAAGACAGGTTTTGAGGATTACAAATGGTATTGGTGAGCAGCACCTGAGAAAGGAAAAGGGAAGAGCAGGCTTGGGTCGAAGGAGCCATTAGACTGAGATGCAGATTGGTGACAGTGCCAACCTAGCCGAGACCTCTGGGACAAAGATCGCCTGTTGGTGGAATCCCATGAATGCGGGCATGGCCAGGCCTTCGTAGCCTGGCCTTGCTCAGTTGTTGGCTGGGGCCTCTCTGAGAAGGGTGTGATCTTGGTTCAAAAGCTGAGGCACACCTTGAAGTTGCCCTTAGCTGAAGGCTATCAACTACGCTTGTCCACAGTCTTTCAAGATCCCAAGCACCCAAAGCCCCAAAACGAAAACAGGCCAAACAAAAATTACAGTATAACCAAGGCTAAGGTTATAGAGGAGAGGACAGGCAGATAATAAGACAATTTTCACAACTAGGAAGCAAATGGTCAACTGGTATCTTAACCTCCCAAGCTAGTAAAAAATGAAAGTACTCACAGGTGGTGGAAGGTGGTGAGAAGCAAGCTGATTCGAGGCCTTAAGTCATACAGTAGGGGCGCTGGGCACGTCCAAGGCAAGGGAAGCAGGGTTAAACGGAAAGGGAGCAGCAGGAAGTCTGTCTAGAGAAGCGGGGAGACCCTTCTAGGTATCCCGTTCACCTAGAGCGATGACTACTTCACCACACCCTCACAGAACACACATGTTCTCTTTCCTGGAACTGTTCAGTCATAGCCTCTGGGTTCAGGAATACCAGAGGAGGCCAGATGTCACACTGAAAGCAGAGGATGCAGTGAGATGCCCGGCCTTGTATTTAATGCCAAGAAAACAGCCATTGAGTTAACATCCTCTTAGCAGGAGAGTAAACGGTTCTCTGAGGAAAATCCTGCCCAAGAAAAAAAATACAGATACTGATGGGGGCCAGGGGAGAGGTTCCAATGAAATAGCCGTGAATGTGGCCAGGGAAGCCTGCCATGGACCTGCCCCCTGCTCCTGCAGGTTCCCAGCCAGCGCTGGCTCCTTGCCATCAGTATGCTGGGACAGCTTAAAGTGCATCAGACATAGGAGGAAAGCCTCCTAAGTGGAAGAGACACCCATAAGCAAATGGGGGTAGAAAGAAGGAACTCGAAAGGTACTAGAAAGATGAAAAATAAAATGAAATCAATATCCAGGTGAGAAAATTTGTTTACATGAAAAAAAGAGGGAACTAGCAGTTAGCGTAATGGCTATGTCGCTGGACTCCCACGTAGTCTACTGCGGTTCGTGTCCCGGACCCGGTGGCTTAAATCTCACGCCGGGCGCGTACGCGTGCGTGCCCAAGATTCCGAGAGGAGAATGGAGGAGAAGGGATTGTGGCGTGACCATCCCTCCTGGGGGTGATTTCTCGCTTTCTGTCTCTGTCTGGCGAGCGTACGCGCCCTATAGCAAAAACCTCTCCAAAAAAAAAAAAAATACATGAAGAAAAGAGAAGGAATGAGAGCTCTTCCATTCTTCTCACGTGCACACACGCGCCTGGCGTGAGTTTTAAGCCACCGGGTCCAGGACGCGAACCACGGTCGACTATGTGGGAGTCCAGCGACATAGCCATTATGCTAACTGCTGGTTCCCAAGGAATGAGAGCTTTATATAACTGAAAATGTAAGTGCCAGGACCAGTGGGTAGTGTGATGGTTAGAGGTGCTGCATCCCCCATGGCCAACTACAGTTCGAGTCCTGGGCCTGGTGGCTTGCTTTCTCACTTTCTTTCTCGCTCTCTGTCTCTGTCTGCTCAAATTAAAATAATAATAATAAGTTTTTAAAAAATGTATCTGCCAACATTTGATGAAGAGATGGAAAAAACAGAATTTAAAAAATTAAAGGGGGACCTGCAGATAGTGTAATGGCTATGTCCCTGGACTCCTACATAGTCGACTGCAGTTTGTCCCAGACCTGGTGGTTTAAAACTCATGACAGGCATGCGTGCCCCAAATCCCAAGAGGTGACTGGAGGAGAAGGGATTGTACCATGACCAAACCCCTTGGGGGATGATTTCTCGTTTTTTGACTCTCTGGTGAGCGCACATGCCCTATAGCAAAAACCTCTTAAAGAAAAA